TGCTGCTGAAAGAGATTTAAGATCAGATTAAGCTTCCCTGGATGAACCAGAGTCAAAGACAAAGGTTGTTTCATTCCTGCATAATGCACCAAGAGACATGACCGGCTGTATGAACTACAGAGAAAATCCTTCTCACTGCGGGCTTCATCTCCACATTAAATAACGAGAGCACCAGCGGTGACGTCGAGGTAAAGAACAGAGGGTTCTATGTCTTGTTTTTTTTTTCTTTTCAAAATCCCGCCTCTTCTACGGCATGCAAACAAAAATAAGTGCATGCAACAGGACGGGAGGAAAACAGCATATTCAAGAGCGAACGGAAGAAGCGATTGCACAGAGTTCACTTTAAGGGGATCAACTGTGCTCCTTTTCAGGGGAGGACAAAAGGTTGAAGGCGGGGAGAGAGTGAAGCGGGACATGTCCGCATGCCGATCTGCATTAAATGATACATCTCTGTCACGTCTTTACAAAACAAAAGAATCCACAGCGTGTCGATTGCCTTTTGTTCCGTGCCTCCTTTCATGTCCCTGCCTTGTTGATGAAGGCAGCGCGGATCTCTCCCTCAGAGTTCCACTGAAGAGTTTGCCTTCCCCATCTGATGCGCTTCCACTGCTCGATACACTCGCATTCTGCCGCTCAGATCAAAGGCCAGCGAGGAATTCATCAAAAGGAATTATACAAAAAAAAAAAAAAAGGAAGAGAAGAGGATCAAGATATAAGAGATGTAGCTCGGAACAAATTAGATGGTTATCCAATATTGGTAGAGAGGACAAGCAAAGGCAAAAGGGGGCCACAGGGCGAGGGAAACTGAGACAGAATATTCAAAAGAGGGCTTGAAATGATGTGGATCTCTTTTCATTTGTTATTGTTAAATCAGGGAGTGTACGGCAGTGATACTTGGGCAGAGATGTATAGATTACATGGCACTACATGATATCAAAGGACTGGTCCAAAAACCACAGGAACAAGCACAATGTTTGCCCTCAAACTCCCACTTCACTTCCCACAGACCATCACATGTTCTCCACTTGTGTAATCTTATAAAGGAAGTCAAGTTAGCAGATTGCTGTGATGTGACAGAAACAATAACAAGTTTCCTTGTGGAACTTTTTTATTCTTAATTACCATGGAAAACACAGTTTGCCCAGAAAAAAGCTTCCTGAGAGACAACCTGCTACACTACATGTTATCAATCACACTTCATTCATCTCACTCTGGCTACAGCACCGTTTGTAAGGGACCGTTCACACTCAATGTCATCAGCAAAGTCATCAAACTACGAATCTTTGGTTTCTAAATAATCTTTATCCACTGGTACTTTAATGGGTTAAGAGTTACGGAACTTAACTGACTGCTGATTAGGGCTGCAATGAATAGTCTTTTTAATCGTCATTAATCTGTCATTTAATTACTTTTTAAAATCAATAAAGTGCCATCACATTTGCCCAGATTGCCAGATTGCTTGTGTTGCCTGACCAGGTTCTGAAAAGTGCTTTAAAGCTGCATTCTCTCTAGTGTCCATCAGGGGGCGACTCCTCTGGTTGTGTTGAAGTCTATGAGAAAATGACTACTTCTCTCTTGATTTATGCATTTACTAAATGATGGTCCATTTAGAGTCAAATAGACCATAAAGCAGGGTATGCTTTAGGGCAGGGTTACTTTGTGATTGACAGGTCACAACCATGACGTTGTCCGGTCTGGGAGTTGACCATGTTTTCATCTTACAACTTTAACTCTTTCACAGTGTGTTCTCAGCTCCACCTTCTCGTGTCACTTATGGTCGCAAAATGCTAAGATGGTGACGGGGGAAAGACCAAGATGGCAAGAGACAAAAACCAGGATGCAGACAGACTAAAAACAAGAACAACAAAAACTAAGCAACGACCAAAAGAACAAGATGGTGAAAGACAAAAACCAAAATGACGACCAAAAATCAAGACAAAGAAATAAAAAAAACAAGATGGCGACGGACAAAATGCTGAACTCGAGGCTGCACAACTGAAGTCACCAAACCAAAGTGTGGCGTCAGTACGGTCCATGTGCCTGACCAACACCCTGATTCAGAGTGACTTTGGGTACTGGCCCTAATCGTTTGTTTCTCTCCATCTTTTTTTTGCAAGGCTGCTCCGGGCTCAGAGGTCCTCACACTAATCTACCAGCAATCACCGGGTTCTATTTTCTGATCTCTATTTTTTGGTTGGGCCCGTATCCGTCCACCTCTGTATGTGAGGCTGCTATCCAAGTACGTACAGTGCCAGTCTCTCTGCTATTATCCACCCACGCCTCAATCAGGTGCGTTTAGCGCCACTGTCACAAGCCCATTAGCGATTACTTGCATGCAAGTGCCTCCTCTCCAGCTGCATGATCTGCCTATTAACTCTCGCCCGGCTCACGAAAAGGGTTTATCACACAAGGGAAACTGGCTCATTGGTATGTGTGTGTGTGTATGTGTGTGTGCGTTGACACCTGCCACTCTCTTGTTCGCTCATATTCTCGATTATCAAAGAGATTGCATGTTACATTACCTCCATTTGCAAGCGAGAGATAAATGCTACATACATAATTTCCAGGACATAATCAAACAACTTCTCCATATCATAAGGGTCCACTTGTCAATCCTGACATAATAATCCACCAGCTAATGCATGCCGTAATACAGATTCAGACATACATTCTAAACAGATTGTTCTCTGCTGTTTCATAATGAAAACAGCCAAACCAAGGCCATGTGACTGCTAACTGTGGCCATAAATTAGCTAAATGTTCAACAGCAGCGGGCATTTTAATTATCAATTACAGGGAGAAGCCAGAAGCTGGAAACATTCAACATTTTACAAGCACAACTAACTGATCACAAAGTCTGACCCATATTTTACCAGACATTACATTTGTTTCTTTCTCTTCTAGAAATCAACTTGTGATTCATCACTCCTGGGCTGGCGGAGGCTGTGAATCACTGAGATAGACGGGTGGATTCCAACAATGGGGGTGGATTTGGCTCATTTGATTTCAAAGCGACTCCGGTCCGTTTTAACAAGCACTCTTCAGTAAAACACTAAGACGAGAGCAATGTGGCCAGCCAAGCACTGAGCCCAAATTACTGATATTTTCTGCCAGAACAAGAAGCAAGTGGCAAATAACTGGATTACAAAGCTGAACACAAATTAATAAGAGAAGATCAGCAGACGAACGCCAACGTTAATGCTTCCGACGACGACACTGAGCTGGGGAGAGAGGGGGGGAGGGGGGCTGGGGCTCGACATGCGTATAAAAAAAAGAAGCTAAATTAAATTAGGGGTTGGAGCATGGGGCTCAGAGCTCATTGGAGGCCATCCAAGTGTTTCCAGGGATTCCACAACAAAAGGAAGGACGGTTTACTGAACATTTGACAAAGAATTGTAGGAACACAATACAATTTTGAATCTTCCTATGAAGCAAGGAATCTGTCAGTCCGCCATCTTAATATCTTAAAAATAAAATATCAATATCATCAATGATACACATATGCTAATATTGTGTAAATAATCCAGCGCCTATTAAAGTCATTTCCATTTCTTTCAGTTCTGGCTAACGTTAAACTTTCCGATGACCAGACATGACCCCTAATGCTGCTGCACGTCCGTAACACTCCACACCACTGACCGAGCAACATGAATAGATATTAGAGATGAACTATGACCTGTTTACACTAGCTCTAAGCACATTATAATACATTATTAAAACTACTAATGACAAGATTTGTTTTAATCAATGAAAATTACAATATTTTATTCTCCTATCATTTGAATTGTGTGTTTTTATGAGGGAGGAAAAGCACTATAAATTACTGTAAGTATAAGTCAGAGGATAATATTTAGTATTTTGATGTTTACCGACTTCAGAGCGGTTGAAATGATTTTTTTTGGGGACGGATGGATCCTTGTAGACCAGCTGCTATAATCAAACAACAAAGGGATCTGTGTCTGCCAATATGGATCATCAATGATCTACAATTAGTATCAGCGGCAGAAAAACGTGATCAGGGATCTCTAAAAGTTATATTTCCTCCTTTTTTCTTCTGTGCTGATCCGACCTGTGACTCTGATCCCTGATCCGATCTGAACTGTGAATTTCATGATTCGTTGCACCACTAAATATTATAATTTCTATATATTTAAACATTATTTCATGTCTCACGAGGCCCCTGGTGGGACAGCTCAGTGCTAGAGCAGGGTCGTCCTTCAATCAGAGGAGGCGGTTCGATCCCCGGCTCCACTAGTCCATGTCGATATGTCATTGGACAAGACATTAAACCCCAAATTGCTCCTGTAGCTGTTCCTGCGGTGTGTGAATGTTGTAAGGATGTTAGTTAGTCCTGATGGGCAGGGGGCACCTTGCATGGCAGCCCCTGCTGTCAGTGTATGAATGGGTGAATGAACATGTAGTGTTAAAGAGCTTTGAGTGGTCAGAAGACAAGAAAAACACTATACAAGTACAAGTCTATTTACATGGAGCCCAGGACTTAAGCCCCTGTAAGCGTGTGCATTAGGATGCCATCGGCATACTTGTTTATCTATCACCTCACAGTGTATAACCCTCATGAATGCAAACAGCCATCCAGGTTACTCATGAGATCCGGGTCGCCTGTTGATACAATCTAATGAAGCAGCAGCAGGCCGTCTCGAGGACACATTGAGTCACCAAAAATAAACAGAAGCCCACGCAGAGACACACACACAAAGAAAAAGAAAAACTACATCGAGTAACAAACGAGAACAACAAGAACAGAATGTAAAGCACAGAGCTGAATAAAACACCAGCGAGGAGAAGAAAAACACGACGTACAACAGGTCTACGCAAGAGCGAGGCGACGAGGCGGCGACGACCAGACGGACGAGAGCGAGAAACAGTGGAACAGAGCAGAGTGTGTGAGGGACGGCACAACACTGTGTACCAGCACATTACGCTCCGATATTACACAGGATGCAGTCTCTGAGCGCTCCTCGCCACGCTTCAATTCATACCCAGGACTCCTGTCTGCCTCCAGCCCGTCCTGCTCTCGCCTTCTCTTGGTGCAGTGATGACAGCTCTACCATATCAACACTGCTGCGACTGGGCTACTGCAGGTGTGTGCGTGTGTGTGTGTGTGCGCGCGCGCGCGCGCGCGCACACACACGTGACCTCACTAAATCTATTATCTCTGCAGGTATCGAGATCACATCCAACAGTCCTAACCAATCACTGCCAGAACAGGCTGGTTCCTGTGTGTGTGTGCGTGTGTCTCTTTGATCTCTGGCTGTCCTTGCCCCCCCTCATCCCCCCATCTTTCTCTCTCTCTCTCTCCTTCTAGTGTAAACACGCATACACCACACACAGGACAGCCTGTGTCGGCAGTAACACACACACACACACACATGCAGTGAGAGCCCCCAGCTGTTTTCAGTCTCTCTCCTGTCCAACTGACAGACACTAAGCAGACTGATCTCAACTCGAGCCGTCAGCCTCCCCTCCTCCCCCTGTCCTCTGACTGACTCTCTCTTTCTCTCTCTACTTCCAATCTCCCTTTCTTGTCATCCACTGCCCTCCTGCTCCTGTTTCGTGTCCCCGTCCCATTTCCGTCTCGGTGTCCACATTTCTCCCTCTCACCTCGTCTGGACCATCTGACAAGTGTGTAAATTAGAAGAAGAAAAATTTATATAAAGAACTTCCAAACATTTACACAAGACATGATTTGGTTTGAGCACTAAATATCGAGTGGGAGAGTTGCATCACAGACAGTGGAAGTATTTCACTGCATAGTCACCTTAGAAGTGCAAGAACAATGTCTACAGGAATCAAATGTACGTAAATTACACTAATACGGCAAGATGCTCATTCTTAGCATCTTAGTTTAGCGAGTTAGCATGCTAACGTTGGCCAATTGATGCAAAATAGTACATTTGAGTAAGTAATGGACACATTGTATCACCATGACGGTTGCCCTCAGAGAAGGCCACATATCGATATAGAAATATATCAATATAGAAAGCTCACATATCTGAAACGGTCCCATTCTAAGCACTACCCACTTCTTTCTCTAGCCGTGTCTCTACCGTCTTAGGTAAGAAGGCTTCCAGGAAATGAAACAAGTATTGAAAAACTCCCGTCTTGTCGCTGATTGGCTTCAACTTGAGCACCGCCTTCTACATTTTTTTTAGGATACTTTGTTGCCAAATTTCATGGTAATCCAAAAGTTGTTGAGACATTTCACTTCAAACTGTCGTCAACCTCACTAGAGGCAAAGTGAGGGGATCATCCTCTGGGGATCAGAGGCCTTTCCCATTCCCGCCCACGAGAGATGCGATCGGAGGGGGCGAGGGAGAGACGCGAGGTGAGAGGACTCGAGGCAACGGGGAGTTTAACAAAATGAGACGTCGTCGACGTCAATGAAACACTAAGTGAGGCACAGCTGCATCGGACGGACCGATGCAGCTGTGCGTCACAGGTGCGGAGGAGACTGCTCCAACACCGGAGTACCACTGCGAATACCTCCTCCAATAAGCCTCCTCGCTCCTCGAGATGCATTTGAGGAACTGAGTCAAGATCGATCGAGCTGGAAGATCGGAGGAGACGAGAAGGCACAAAATCAATACGATTGAAGCTGACTTCACTGAAATACTGTGTACTAGTAGTCCAAGTTAAGTACTGAAGAATGAAGTTGCTTATGGACTGAAATGAAGGTGCTGAATAAAGACGCTGAACTGTCCTCCCCTGTAACACTGCATGTGCTTCACTTTGCCCCCGCTCTCTCCTCCCCCACATCACATCACGTCTGATTATCTGTCTGCTGGCCTCTCGACTCCAACAATATGTCGCCGCACTCTGCTTCCTGCTTGACAGTGTTCTGCGCTTCGGGGGTAGACGAGCTAAACTGATGCAGTGGGCGGTGAAGCTGCGGCTGCCCTTTTTATGTCTTCCTTGGAAATGAGACGCCGCATAATAGTTTCATTTTGTAAGTGCACTGCCTGCATGGGCACTGGGGGGGGGGAATAAAGAGTGGATTATTGGAAATTTGAAGCACACATTGTTCGCTTGTTTTTTTTGGTTCGGGACAAACCTCTCGTGGTATCGAGCTATGCAGATATTGATACTAAGATTTGTGCCTTCAACGTTACATTTGAAATACAACAACACGCTGGTTTCCACAGAGCTCACGGTCAACATTCATCTTTAAATGGGAACTATTTCTTCAGTAGAAAGTAGTTCCCATGAAAGCTGTGGATAATCCAGCATGTATGAGTCACTGCTAATGGAAATGAAGATGTTGCTGCTGAATCTTTTTAAATGACTAAATGATGTTCACATGATTTTTGGGGAAACCTCTCAGTTCCCAATCGTCTGTTTCTCAGGGCTTTTTTTAAGTTACGTGACGAGGAACAATCACAGCCGGCACATATCTTTTATTTTCCACACGTTTTCAGATGCAACATGTGAACGGCCCCCAATATTCCCCAATACCAATACGACAATGTTCTGAATTTGCTATGGGTCATGTAAATATCCGTTTGTATATTTAGAATGGAGCATCTTCTGATTAAAACATGTGAGATATGCTGATATTATTCTGGTTTTAGGAGAATTCTTAGGACATGTAAACATTCTTTTTTTGCAAATTATAACTTTATCATGATGTGTTCAAATGTAATCTCGTAAAATGTAGCGTTGGTGAGACATTTTCAGAGGAACATGAATAGATATCAGAGATGAACTATGAGCTGTTTACACTAGCTCTAAACAGATTATAATCATCAATCATTAAATCAACTAATGACATTTGTTTGAATCGATAAAAATACAATCTTTTATTTCCTTATCATTTCAATTGTGTTTTTATGAATAGAAAAAAATATTATAAATGACTATAACAAAGTAAAAGGAAAACATTTGGAATCGTTGATGGTTTACTGACTTCAGAGTGGTTGAAATGATTTTTGCTCCTTTTTTCTTTGGTGCTGATCCGATCTTTGATCCGCTCCGTGACTCTGATCCGTGACACGATCCGAACCGTGAGTTTTATGATCCGTTGCACCACTACTGTTTTGCATGCCAAAAAGAGAAGTCTACATCTCTGCTCAAAGGGGAAACACACCGACTTTTAAAACATATGAAATCTTTTAGATAACAGTTTTGAGACATGCTCATGTACAGCAACGTCGACCATTTCAAGAAGGTGGTAGAAAGGAATGAACGAGGGAGGCTGGTGTTGTGTGAGAGGAGTTTTACTTTAGTATGCACGCTTGCACGGAAACAGGAATATTACTGGAGTGTTCATTTTCATAATCCATGTGAACAGCTTAGTAGGAATATTGTCTTTATTGAATGAGGGCAAATAATTTAATATTGTGTTCATGTAGACGTAGTCATTGACGACTAGCTGAACAGGTGTTGTCGTCGACTCATATTCCAGAGACTACACTACATGGCCAAAAGTATGCGGATGCTCCCATCCGCATACTGTGGTGTGTATAGTTGTGGTCTGGGCTCGACCCTTCATTGAAATGTTTAGTGCCGTTAAAGATATTTCAGTCAATAGGGTGATTCCAAATAAAGTGTTGATGTCAACCCCATCACTTCTACACCTTTAGGATGAACTGGGAGCAAATCCCTGCAGCCGGGTTGCAAGATCGGAAGAGAAAACGGCCGCTCTGTGTCTCCTTACATGACTCCTGTTTCCTTGTTTGTCCTCACCTTCCCTCAGGCTCATCCAACTCTTTTCAACTCCACCTCTCCTCTTCCACACCCCTCCCTTTCTCTATTCTTGTGTCTCCCCTCCCCCGCATCTCCTCAAGGTCAGCCTCCTCCCTCAGAAACCCCTGCCGCTCTCTTTCTCCCTCTCCCATCTTCATCATTGTGCGCACTCCTCTTCATCCCTCGCCCTCCACGCCACTTTTCTCTGCTTTCATCTGCTGCTGCCGTCGTGTCGAACCCTCACATCCCATGGCCCGTTGCACGGCTCATTTTCCTCAAAGCCCCGCTCCTTGTGTCTCCTCTCTGTCAGCCTGTTTTTCGACACCTTCTCGTCTCCAATTTCTGTCAAGTTCTCCAGGAGAGCAATCAGCACGGGCTCTCGTGTCTCATGCATGGCATGAAGCCTGAGGTTTGGAACCTGTGTCGGTAATCTCATGGCCCATGATTACTAACTACTGCTGCAGAATATTGTTTATTTTCTTATTACTGAAATTATTTTTTTTATTCCGTTACTTTATTTGTAACCTTACCGTCGACAGACTCCATCTTACTCTAGTTTCACCTTTCGATTCTTCCACCTAACAATGTAATGTAACTTGTCGGTGTCACATCTGAATAAAGCCCGGTTTCATTCTCAGAGCATCGTGGCCCCTTGCATCCCATATCAGGGAACAAGGTAAAGAGAGACACAGTTTGCGTAGGGAGGAGGTCGGGTTTGATGAACGGGTCAAACAAACAGGACTTTCACACGGTCAGAGTCTAAATGCCAATCTCGAGGCTTCAAAACCGCAGTCCACAAACCAATGAGTGAGGTAACTACGACTACTTCCACTTCTTACGTACAGTCTACGGTAAATATATAACGTCACATACATAGCATAGGCTACATAACTCATTAACAAACACTTATTTCAACCTAAACCACTATCTTTTACCAAACCTAACTAAGTAGTTTTGTTGCCCGATCCCAAGCGAAGCCAAGGGGTCCTGACCAAGCCTCTGTACGTGATAACCATCAGGCCAGATGTTTTCCCCCTCTAAACATCTAAACATCCAGGACAAGTCTTGACATTTAGCATGTGAAAGAAACTGAGTTAAACTAGATTCCTAATATAAGGGCTTGTGCTCTGTCGAACTTTATAACATAGGCAGTTGAGTTTGCTCTCTAATTACGTTAATTGATGAAATTGATGAGAAACTGTATTGGTGGGTTGACAGTGAGACAGTTCTTTAAAGGCTCATTAAATAAGGCTGATTAAGTTTTAAAATACATCACTGACTGTAAGGTTTTTGCAGAAAAGAAAGGGCTGGACCCAAATGCAGGGAGACTCGGGAAACGGAGGGTTGGATAATTGTGGGTTTAATTGTAACAAAAAAGTATTCAACACAAAAACGTGTGAATCACAAGTCCATGAAAATAAAACATCCAAAGAAACAGGGAACACGGCAATGGGGAGCAGACACTAAACATACTGGGAGGAAATGGCAGGCAGACGACAGACGGACCAGGTTACACCAAAGACGAACGAACACTGAGCCAAGGCACACACAGGGTTTAAATACACAGGGAAGGTGCAGGTGATTAGACACAGCAGGTTTCAATTAAGGGTGGGGCAGACGATCACGAGAGGAACAGACAGGGGCAGAAAGTGAAGTGAAGCAGACTGAGGAGGTGCAGGTGATTGAACGCAGCAGTGTCTAATTAGGGGAAGGGCAGACCCTCACAGGGGTAAGACAGACAAAGGCAGGAAATAAAGTGCAAGACACAGAACATCTCAATAAAACAGAATAAATAACCAATTCAGAACATAAATCGTGACAACTGACGTAGTCTTTGAAATAACTTGAACACTTCTTTATATCACTATTTTTATAAATACCACCAATACTAACGAAATCATTTACTTATATAGTCTTATTTATTGCACTTCAAGACCTTGGGAAATGTTTTTCCAAAGCTTCACTTCATTTCTAACACAACTGTTAACGCCAAGACTAGTTTGACCTTTTCACTCCTTCTCCACCAGCAGTGTGTTAGAC